CCATTTATTGCAGGCCAGAGAGGTTTCAGATAGTGGAGCTTCTCCTGGTCTTTCAGTTCCTTCCGTCTTCAGATGGCGGACTTGACTGGGACGGCAGAGGGGTACTTAGGTCCAGGCCCCCCCAGCTACTGTCTTCACGCAGGCACCGCAGCGCAGATGCCCACAGCGCGTCTCTTCATCTGGGTTTTGCCGCAGGAGGAGTACGTGTACTCGGCATGTTGGCTGATTTCAATTTTCTTCACCATTTTCCTGAGGGAGGCACCGTAACGGGTCCTGTATTTGCCCACGATCCCGACCTTCTTGGTGCATTTGGCCATCTTGCTGCAAACTTGTCCCAGGCCAGAGAGCAACAGTAAACTTTTTGTACATTAGAACCCATCAGTCTATTTTGCAGTTTGAATGGGTGTTTGATATGTGTACAATTTTGTAATCATGAATTGGTTATTCTGAATTATACAGATCCTCCAAATGTTGACGCAATTCAATATATGTTTAAAACCATATATGTATGTATCTGTGTATCTATGTTTAAAACCACATTTGTTAATATTCCTGACCATATGTATCATATGTGTCTATGTTTAAAACCACATTTGTTAATATTCCTGACCACTGCTGTCCAATACAATCCAACTCATAGTAACTCTGTATAGGGTTTCTGAGACTATAAATCTTCTCAGGAGCAGACAGTCTCTTTAGCCTTCTGAATGACCAGGAGGTTTGAACATTACAACCATTTACCCAGTAGCACCACCAACTGCAGAGCTTATCAAAATAGCCTGTAAGTATCTTATTAGAGTGGGGTGGTTTTGTTTTGTTTTTTCACAAACAGGTATTTCAGAACTAAATTTTAATAACTAATATCCTAATCCAGATTTGAAGGTTCAGATTTTATCACTGGCAACAAATACTGTCAACTCTTTTCCCTTAAATGATAGGTCTGTGTTAATCATTTTTTGAGAAGATGTCTGGCTAAAACCCCTATCTGAGTAACTATAGTTTGTCAGTCAGGGTA